GCGTGTGTGACACTCACATGGGAGTGAACACAGGAAGTCAACCCTGGAAATGAGCGGGACAGCAACAGGAGCTAGCTTATGCTACGGTGTTAACGTCCTTCTGAGGACTACCAAGATAAGGAAAGGGGACAGCATACCTCCTAGAGAAAAAAGTCCCTGACTTGACCTTGGTATCCAGAAGTAAAGTGAATAAAAGCCCCAGCTCCTTTGAGAATCAGGACTACTAACTGCCTAACCATCACCATGGTATCTGCTCAAATGGAACACTTACTGGTGTGGTCTGCAAAACCTCAAAAGAGAATTCATTTCAAGTGGTCCAAAGGCCACCTCCCCTGGAATCCTTTCTTCACTCCTGATTTCACTGTTGTGAGAACCAAGCATTATGTCAAGCTGACAAAATAAATCCAGTTGTGATGGTAACAAACCACCACACACATGTGGCCTAAAGCCTGCAGGTTCCACTCACCAATAGGTGAGGAACTTAGACAGAACACAAAAAAGAAAGCTGATCTGCCTCTGGTGTCCCACAGCCTCCACTGAAGACAACCAAGCCATCTGAAGCCCATGACACACAATGAGCATCAGAGATAGCCCTCCTCTGAAGAGCAGTGCCTAAGATGCTGGAGACCCGATGATCAACAACCACAAGTGTTTATGTTTAAGCCTGTGTACCTAACCTGCAGAGTCCAGGAAATAAGTGGATGATCCCAGCCACATCAAGAAAAAACAACCAAGACAGAACCTCTCCCGAACAACCAATCCCGCTCTGTGTCAAGGCACAAACTGAGTTGGGGACAGGGAGACGGAGGGGAAACAGTTCTAGATTTAAAAAGGCTCAAAATCCACATCCATTTATTAACTTTGTTTAAATTCCACTTGAAACAAATCAAAGGCATTCTGAGGGCAACAGGGGATATCAGAACATGGCAAGTGTAATGGCAAAATTGTGGCTGTAGTGCAGAATGCCTAAAGTACATAACTATTGGGAAGAAATGTGTCCCTGTGATTTAACTTTAAAATAAAGTAGGGATGGGAGACTGCAAAGCAAAAAGAGAAGAGGCAAACCAAGGAGGCAATTATGGCAAGGTGTCAACGGCATTAGAACCTGAGTGACACCATGTGTGTACCTGTAACATCATTCTGCTTGTCTGCATATTAAGAATGTTTTGCAATTCACTAAATGAAACACAAGACAAAACAGGGCTCCAGATGACCAGTGTCCAGCAAGCAAAGCCTAACCAGCCCTTCAGAAGTAACGAAGCAAAATCCAGGAGTCAATAAAAACATTTTCAGAAAACAAGGGATTGAAAGAAATAAAGCTCCTAGAATGAAAGAGAACAACAATAACACATTTTAGAGATTCAACAAAAGTAGTATTCAAGAGGAAATATTTTAGTCTTACATTTTGCTTCAGGAGAGACACAAAAAAAAAAAAACCTCAAATGAACTAAGCATTTCACTACTCACTAGGCATGCACTATTTCACTTCAGAGTGAAAATAAACATCAGAAAAGCAGATAGACCTATTCAAAGAACTTAAATTTTTAATAATATATATAACTCCTTACCAGAGTTGCTTTGTAAAAGCTTATATGAACAAGAAAAGAACTGAAAGAAAAAAGGGTTCTTAAGAACAGAAAAGGGCCTGAAGGGTGGAGGAAGGGGAGAAGGAAAGAAAGGTACATATGGGAAAGGATGAGGAAGAGGACGAAAATGGGGGAAAGGCTAAAGACAGAGGAAGGGGAAAGGAGGATACTGGGGAGAAGCAGAGGATGGAGGAAGGGAAAGGAGATGGGGAGCGGAGAGAGGATACTAGGGTGGAGAGTGTGGAGAAAAAGGAAAGGAGCAGGGGAGGGGTGGAGATGGAAAAGGAGGAAAGGAGGATAGAGGAAGGGGAAAAGAGGGTGCATACTGGGGAGAGGTAGAGGATGGAGAAAGGGGAAAGGAGGACGGGGCCAGGGTAGAGGATTAATGTGTGGTACAGACAAACTGTCATGGTGAAACTCACCGATTTGTGTAATTAATATGAGTTAGTAAAAAATAGAAGGAAAGCCGGGCGTTGGTGGCTCACGCCTGTAATCCTAGCTACTCAGGAGGCTGAGATCTGAGGATCGCGGTTCAAAGCCAGCCCGGGCAGGAGAGACCGTGAGACTCCTATCTCCAATAAACCACCAGAAAACCGGAAGTGGCGCTGTAGCTCAAGTGGTAGAGCACTCGCCTTGAGCTGAAGAGCTGAGGGACAGTGCCCAGGCCCAGAGTTCAAGCCCCACGACCGACAAAAAAAAAAAAAAAAAAAGAAGGAAAGTATCAACGCTGTATATAGGTTAAGTTAATAGACATAACCTTTATGTTAATATAGTTGAAAACCTGGATTAAATTCCTATAACACAGAAATACATACATACAAAACTGATTCCAGAAGAAATTTGTAATTAGAAATCACAAAATAGTGGGAAATCGGGTTAAAAAATCAAGGGTGAGATAAAAGCTAAACCCTTCTAGCAAATGTCCAAAGAATAGATCATCCCAAACATTGCAAATTCTTCCAGAGAACAGAAAGGAACTAGTCTCCATTATATGAAATTCTACAATACAAACACTAAAGTATCACAAGATAATTACACTTCAATCTCACTCGTGAACATTCATCCAAGGAAACTTAAACAAATGTTAGTAAATGGAATTAAGTAGTATATAAAAAGGCAATTTGTGATGAGGCTGTATTTATTCCAGACTTCAAGTTCATTCATCTATTTATGAAACATGAATATGTTGTTTATACTACTACATATATTGGGGAGAACACATGACTGGAGTTTGACCTAAGGGCCTCACACTTGCTAGGCAGGTGCTCTACCACTTGAGTCATACCACAGCTTTTCAGGTAGGGCCGTGTATGACTGTATGAAGTTGGCAGCTAAGAGGAAAAGCATACCGCGCCATGCTGGGCTTACTGACTGAGATGAGGCCCTGTGTACTTTTCGCACAGGATGGCCTTTGGCTCCAGAGCAGCCGGTATTACAGTTTTGGGCCACAGTATCCGGCCAGCACTCGGTACAATATTTCCTACAGGAGGGAGGGCTGACCACAGCAGCAGACTATATGTAGAAACCAAGTGACCATTATCTTAATAGACAATAAAAAGATAGAAACTTCAGCATCTATCATGAAAAAAACAACAACAAAAAACCTATCTTACCAAACTAGAAAAGGGAACTAGTCAGCCAGTGTATTTGATTCCAGTGCCCTACATCTGAAATAAGGACACAGGTTGACCCATTGTAACAATGAAATGTACGAGACACTTCGTTGAGAACCAACTTTACAACTTTGGGGGGGGGGAGGTAGTTGGGGAGGAAAGGAAGAGGGAGAAAAACAAACAAGAAGAATGTTCGATAGGAAATGTTCGATAGTCATTACCTTACTCATGTAACTGTAAGCCCTTTGTACAGTATCTTTACAATAAAAAATATTAAAAAAAAGAAAAAGAGAACTTGTAAGTCCAAAATGAGCATCCATAAAATAGAGAGTAAACATTGTAGTTAATGTTGAAGGCTTTTAGCCTTCATTTTAATTAGGGTTAACCCACAGTCCTCACAAACAATGTATTTGCTGAAGGTAGTCTTCAGCAAGACAAAAAAAAAAAAAAAAAGAGTGAAGGTGGTGATACGTTTAAAAAAGTATTATTTTAAAAATGAGATCCTAAGAAAATAAAAATTAATCTGCAAAGATGGCATATCTGCACACCCCCCAACAACAATGAAAAAAAGGTAATTTTGAAAGGATACAATTTACGTATCAACAAAAAAGAAACTACATAGGAATAATCATAATAATAATCATAATAATCTTTTATATGGAAGCATATAAAAGAAATGTGTAACAACCTTTTTTAAAATGGAGAAATGGGAGGGGACTGAAGCCACTTTCAAAGATACTGAATTAGCTTTGAAATGTTCACACATGTAGTAAGAGCCGGCTAGATGGGGTAACTGGTGAAACTTGTATTCAGAGAGCAAGACTGTACATGATCTTGAATGTCTACTGTGGTTTGAACATGTTTTACTTAAAGTCACAAGTTCTCTTTAGAAGTCTGATCAAAGTCATGTGAGAAGAGACTCAAGGCAAACTCAAGAATATACTTAAGATTCTACTTCCTACTTCCCTCAAAGAGTGGCAGTCTCTAAAACAAAAATGAAACTAAATCATTTTACCAAATACATATGTACTCTAGTATTTTTCTTAACCATAGAAGCAGAAGTATATGGCCCAATAAAATAAGAGTATTTAATGAGGCCAATTTAAATTAGAAACTCGTCTGGTATGGAAGTGATCAGAAGGATAAAGCAGGAAGATCAAGGGTTGAAGGCCAGCCTGAGCTAGATGACAAAACCCTGTTCCTAAATAAGTAAATATTTCTAGAAACTGGTTGATACGCTTTGAGCCGACAATCCCCCTTTGTATCTGGTACACTGTCTCTGAAATGACTGCCTCTTCCTGGTTTCAGCTTGTCAAAAGGCAACAATGTTTTCAGGCAGCACTTACTGTTAAAACAAAAATATAAAAGGTCAAGATAAAAATATCATCCGTGTGCCAACTGGTAGGGTTAAATAATCTGTAAAGTGATTCCAATCATGCTTAACAAGGTGGCAGAGCCCTGTCTTGAAAGATTTAGAACACAAATGACAGAAACAACTAAACGAATGGCACAAAACGAATGGCACCTTCTGCTGTCACCAAGCAGTAATGCAAGCAGCAGTTATACTACTTGCTCTCCCTTCCCACTCTTCCCTCTCAAAAATGCAGAATTCTAGGGAAGAGATGGTGGGAGGGAGGGGTTAGACTAGGGTACAGCTTTGCATTTGGGAGGGAGGGATTAGTGTGTGACTTCACATTTTTCTCAAAACCACACTTACTTTCCACCATCATTCAAAAGAGACAGCCTCAGAACAGAGACCCAGAGGAAGACACCAAGCCTGGGTGCCAGGGGCTGCACTCACCTGCTGTGGCTGGTACCTGGGCTGGGCCTGGGGCGGCAGGTACTGCGCCTGCGGGGGGAGGTGCGGGGGCTGTGGCTGCTGGCTGTAATATGGCTGTTGGCCTTGCTGGCAGTAACCACTCACACCTTGCTGTCCATACTGAGGTGGCATCTGTCAAGAAAGTCAAGCAAAAACAATGAGAACAGTCAAAACAATTGTACAATTGTTTTGTACAATTGTCTTGTATAATTACAAGAACTCAAATATGGTTTCAACTCAGTTTCATGATAAGCAACAATATTTTAAATTCTATCTTCATTAGATAAACTGAAATGTCATCAATGAAGCCAAAGATAATTTGGCTTTGTCTGAAGAAACAATTATATTTTATAACACAGCAAATGTTGATGTCATTAAAAAAATCTAAAAAAATAAACAAGCTCCTAATGCTGACATTTAAAAACACTGCCTCTGCTAAGTCAGAGAGGCATTATATCAAATCCACTCCCACGCAACAGTGAAAATTAAAATGAATGTCCAAGGTGACTCGTGCATATTTTGTAGGATGCCTGTGGCCTGGGTACGTTACATGGTGCATACCTGTTCACAAGTTTAGAATAACTGAAGTTGCAACAGCCCAACTACATTTCTAACAGATACGAACCAGCTGCATTAGCAGCTCCATTTACTATTTTTTTGCTAAAAAGAAAACTCATTTCTTTGAGCATCAAACAAAATCCTTTGGCAACAATACTACTGATGTGATCACAATACCAGCATTGAGTTTTTGAAGGAAATATTTTCCTATCTAATAAATGGCAGTATTATTTCCTTAGTCAATATAACATATATATATATATATATATATATATATATAAAGTATACTGAATTGTAAATAACAGCAAAATGGCCTAAATGAATCTTCTATCACTAACTTACATGAACCTAAAGATCATTTTCCCAAAGGAAAACCCCTCCTCATGAATATGTCATTGGTTGTATTTCTAGCTTTCATTTACACAAATTAATATTAATTAATATTTTTCTTTCTTTTAATGAAAAATGTTTGATTTTTTTGGTCCCAATTGAGAAAGCGTGGGAAAGAAAGAGACAAACTCTCAGGAGAGCAAAGAGCACTCCCATGCTGAAAATGGATACATCATTGCCTCGACCATGGCCCATGGACACGATCCACATGAGAGACAACTCCAGGAACGAAGTCCCCTACTCCACACACTAAAGAAATCAAGTAGTGCCCAATTCTCTACACAATGTGAATGGGATATAGGAAGGAATAAAGAAAGGAGATACTAAGAATTACACTTCTGAGACAAATTAGTATAGTCATTCACAGCACATCTAATACACTAAAAGAAAAGTAATGTAAAAAGCTATGGTTCCTATTTCTTTCAACCCAATCCATACTATTTTCAAAACCTATCAGCAGTGATGACAAGAAATATGGACACAATGGCTCACAACGTGCCTCATCGCATACAGCCTGGGCTGTTAAGAGCAGACGGGTTTCTACTGAAAACCATTGAACAGCACAGTTGAAATCTTTGCTTTTATTTATTTTACAGTTTGATATCTCATAATGAATGTATGTCCCTGCCACAAGCTAAGCCAAAGAATTTCCATAAAATACAACTCCACATGCTAGAATACCATACACCACTAAAACACAAACCCTCCCGTTCAACACCCATATGTTTGATTTGATATCTAATACTATAATTCACACAAGCATCTCTGCAGTCTGAGTTGAAGCAGTGAGGATAACATGTCTGCCAGTGCGAAGATGACTGTGAGCTCAGCCAGCATAGCCAGCAACCTCCTTGGAGGTACACTTCGATCTGTTGACTTTCTTGGTTTACAGAAACCCTTACACAAAATATGATGTGTTGTTCAGGGAGGAAGGCCCTATCTTCCAAACAAGAGAAGCAGCCAAACTGTGGGAACCTCCTAACATCAGAGCAGCCAGAGACTTACGAGACTTTGTACTGTCTGCAGCAATGGGGGCAAGTGCTGGGCAGGAGGTTAGCTGTGAGCCTAAGCTGACCTCCATCGAGCCATAGCATTTACCAGCAGGAGCAAGGCCGAGTGCAGAGGGAAGCCATCAAATGTGATCCGATGCTCCCTTAGATTCTTCTTCTAGTTCATGCCTTTGAGAGCAACCCGGCTGGCCTGGGCGGAGGAAACTCAACCATAGTGCACTGGGCTCTCCAGGAGACCCAGGATCAGTCTACAGTTTTGGACTGGGAGTCACACAGGTCAGGTTACCAATTTCTAGTGCAGATAAAGCATCTCTTGAGTATGTATGTATTCTACGCCTTGGGAAACTGTTCTTCACTCAGCCCTAACCCAGCTCCACTGTACTTCCGTATGTGGCTGAGGCCTGAAAAGCCCATGTACGTTGTTAAAGCAAACAACAACCAGACCAGAGGATGATCTGTGAGAGGTTTTGTAGACCTATGCTGGCTACTGGGAGTTTGGGGTTCTCTCCTTGTTCGAAAGCACATTTGAGACAACTGAGATAACCAGGCCGTTGTGGGTTGTTATATTTCACCTAAGTTACTGAGCACCATTAGTACCAGGTGCTGAGAAGCGGGGCTACAAGCACTTCTCACACAGATGTCACCGTTTTCCTCACCAGACACGCCAACTGATGAGGAGGAAAACTACCTCTCTCCCTCATAGGAGGAAGAAAATTACCTATTTTATTTATCTGCACAAAGGACAGGATCTGAATCGTATTTACTGTCTGCATCCCCGGAATACCTCGAATCCAGGCCTCCTAGGAGAGTCAGGACAGACTGGTTGAATCCATTCATGTTGTTCATATATAAAATTTATTAAAGAAAAAGCATGTCATAAAATGTATACCACTTGTGCCATACAAATCTGACACACATATGTTGAAAAGGAAGCAGCCTGGTGCCCGGACACTATCAACTAACCCTTCGCTCACTACTGCCCAGCAGTGCTCGATGCTCTCTGTACCAATGAAATAAGAAGAGCAGTATTAACAAATTAAGCTACTTGGAAATCTCCAGAATGTGGCTGAGATAAAAACTTCTGCTTGCTATATTGAAACAAAAATCTGTTTCACTCATGTCTAAATAAAGGGATCTTTAAGTGATATGAGGATACAAAATTTAAAAAATTGCTACAATTCTTTAAAAATAGGAATGCTTCCAAACATTATCAGAGAAAGGAGGCTAAAAATGATCTGCTGCTTTACGTACTGTAGGAAACTAATACATATGTCCCAGTAAAACACACACACATTAACGTCCACAGTTCGGTCACGTTAGACAGGCATGATTCTATGCTCTATTTTTTATTCTGCCATACCTTGAAATTTTGGCTCCTACTCCATTCATCAACATTTCCCTCCCCCTTGCCCCCGCCCAACAATTTTTCTTTCAAAGGAGTTTTCAAGAACAGTTTCCCAGTAAGTTAAAAGATGCCCCGAGCTCATTCCTCAGTGCTGCGCCTTGTAAGCATGCTCTGAGCCTGTGAGCATCATCTCACAATGCCAGGAAGGCTACTCCAAGCAGTGCTGTCTACAGTGCCCAGGACGAGGACACATTTCTAACACTGGTGCAGAAGGTAAACAGGAAAAGTTAACTCTGCTGTAATGATATGATTAAGACTGTGTGTATAGTTATTATTATTACGTAGCTTTCTAGCGCATTTTAGTTCTTGTGTTTGAGTCTGTGGTCCATCACGAGTTAATATGGCATAAAGGATCCATGTTCACACTGCTGGAATGTCTCTCTTCTTGTTTTATGATTTTTTTTAATACTAGGTCTCACTATACAGACAAAACTATTTTTTTTTTGCTTATGTGGTACTGAGGAATCGAACTCAGGGCCTCATGCATGCAAGGCAAGCACTCTACCACTGAGCCACCTTCCCAGCCCCAGACAAAACTATTTTTAAACTCCAAATCCTCTTACCTCAGCCTATATTGGTTCTGGGATTACAGGTATGTACCGCCATACCCGGCTCTATATAACTTATACACCAGCATCAGCTCCTTTTGTTTTAAAAAGTACCATTTGGCATTTACCTTCAGGTACTATATTTAAAGAAAGAGAATAACTAATATTAAATTTATATGCACGAACTATATGATTGTTTCTGTGAGGCTCAAAATCAGGCCAAGTTAATTTATTGTCATAGAAATCACAATAATGGCAATCAGATCTAGGGAAGGACTGGAAAGAGACATGAGGTAACTTTCTAGTAGTGACAGGAATGTTCTACGACCTTAATTTGGGTGATGGTTTCACAGATGTGCAAATCAAGGCATAATGTTGTATGTAAATTATCTTTACAATATTTGTATACTCTAAAGTTTACATAATGAATATTTAAAATGTTGACTTCCTGTTTTTTATAGTTCCATAATGTGTTTTAAGTTACCTATGCTTGAAGACAGTCAACACTTACATAACTCCTTACTCATTTATGTAGACATAAAGTTTCTGAAATTGACAAGGTCTGTTCCTAGAGGGTTAACAGTACATTTTCCTTTGTTTTCAATTTACATAATCCAAAATATTACAGAGAAATTGAGAATATTAAAATTGAGAAGGTAAAATTAATCACAATATGTATATAAATAATATCCTCTGACTCAGAATTCTGCCTCTGGGAATTATTTTAAGAAAAATAAATATGAAGCAACTAAGCAAACATTTGTGCAGCAAAGAGTTCAATTCTGCTCTGTTGAAAGTAAACAGCCTAAAACTCAATTTCTATCAATAGGAAATTGACCAAAAAGGGTCACAAGTCCAAAAGGGATGGAAGGGTGCCAAAAAATACTAGAGCCATTGAACATATGACTATTGTGATGACTATAATAAAAAGTTCTGTGCATGGGTCATGGATGTGAGACTTAACCAGTACTGATACATATAATGCTATTTTTGTCTGAAAATCAGTGTGTAGTATGCGTGACTATATATACTAATACGCTATCATTCCTTAAACTAACTAAAGTACTTTTCATGAATCTAGAACAAAATGCAATTTGTTTCAGGTTATGTATTACTGCTGTGTTTTAAGGGTTACGACAAAAAATATTCTATAACAATTTATCTTTACTGGCAGAAAGCAATGTAATTTTGTTTGCTGTTTGGTTGGTTGGTTTTAATCAC